TTTCTCCAATTTGGAAAGAAAGTCTTGCAGCATATAATTGGGTACGTCTGGATTTGAAGTTGTTATCTTTTAGGACTTAGAATACTTTACTCTAAGCTCTCTTGTCCTTTAAGGTTTGTGTTGAGAAGTCTACTGTAATTCTAATAAGTTTACCATTATAAATGAGCTGTTCCTTTCCTCTAATAGCTTTATCCTTAACAGCTTCTCCTGCATCACTTATCTATGTGATAAGATATAATATCTTATATATTTATTTCTTTCCCATATTTAGAAAGTTTTCTGCTATTATTTCTGTAAACAAGTTTTTTATACTCTTTGTGCTGCTCTTTGATTTTTCACTTATTCCAATTAAATTAGTCTTCTTTGTAGTCTCTAGAAGATACTGAATCCATTTTTCATATTCTCTTGTTTTTGTAAGGTATCTGAGTAACTGATCTTGAAAGCATCCCTATCTTCTATATCTGATAATCTGTCCTCACATTGGTCACTTTTGGTCACTTCTGCTGCCCATATTTTCAGTATAACTTTTAATCTGTTGGATTTCTGTTTGAAATCTTTTCATGGTCTCTAGTTCTTTGCTAGACCGGTCATTCATGTTTTGTAACATTTTGTGTAGCTCAGCTAGCTTTTTATGAGTGCCTTCTTAAATTCCCTGATTGTTTTATCACCTGTCTTATCTGATTAGTTATATTTTCTGTGAGTCCACTGAGCACCTATTTGATCTGATTTTTAATCTCCTTTGTTATCATTTCAAATAATTCAGGTGTGTGGCTTTTGCTTTCAAAGTCCCATGGATCAGCTCTGGAGTTTTGGGAGCCATTTTTTTTTGCCTTGCCTTTCTCATGTTTTTTTGTTTGTTGTTTTGTGCTTAGGTAGGGGGTCACTTGTAGTGGAAAGACTTTGCTGCCAATATGGAGCTCTCCTTAGTCTGTAAAGCAGACTAACTGTAGTTCTTTGCCTCTATCCCAAGATCTGATCACCTCTGTTAATATTGGAAGGGGCGGGAATGCATTGTAATTGGTTCAGCATTCAGTTTTGGGGGAATGGACTGCAGTAGTATTAATGTCACAAAGGTAATACAGGTATTGGCATACAGAGAAAAACAACAATATGCAACCCTGGCAATATCAGTTAAATCAGCAACAATAATATCATCCAAGACAAACTGGACATTGACATACCATAAGAAGCAATAAGGTATCACCCTTACCCTTAGAAAGCAAATCTACTATTATGGTATAAACCCTAAGACAAACTAAATATTGACATACAGCAAATATTTACTAAATGCAATAACTATGTCTCCACTAATGATAGGAAAGAATTGAACAATAGAACATAGAGTTAACTATTTAAAGATTAATAAAGCTTAATGGTTATATTATTGAAAATATAGGAGGTTAGAAATGGGAGAATGCAGTAAGAAAAATTTTATAAATTAAGCAACTAAAGATGAGAGAAAAGTGAAAAAGAATCCTATAATGGAGTAGAAGAATACTTACAGAAGTAAACAAAGTTAACAGAAAAAATGAGAAACAGAAGATAAAAACAGAAAAATAATGTGGAGAATAAAAATAGAAAAAAGGGGGAAAATGAGTAAGAACTAAGAAATAAAAAGTAAGTTCAAAAGCAGAAAAAAATTTTTCTCTGTATTTTTGAAAGAGTAGTTTCCTTCTAGGATCTACAGTTTTGGATTTTAGCTAATCTTGATTTTCTCTGCTTATCCCAGTGGTGGCAATCTTGTGGCACACACGTTATTGTGTTTTTCTTTTAAAACAAAAGATGTTAATGTATCAGTTGTTTTTTCTAAACTAAAACCTCAGTATTCGGGTTTAATTGCAGTGTTGGCACTTTGTCATAAATAAGTGGGCTTAAGTTTGAGTGTGGCATTCATCTTTAAAAGACTTACCATCACTGTCCCAGCCTTACGGCTTGTGGGTTTGTAAGCTATGCCCCCTCTTCCAGAGGCCCCTCTGTTTACCCCAGGCTGAGACATGCATCGGGAAGACAGTCAGACCTCAGATCTGTGGTGGATGAAGGCAACAGGTAAGGGTTTAAGTACTTAATGTCAGCAGACCCTTTTGGACCTGGCTGTTTCTGAGCACCACTCAAGCTGGGCCTGGCTTCTCACCACAGGGGTTGGGGACTGTTTCCTTCCAGCCTGAGTTCAAAATTCTCAGGGAATTTCTTTCTAACCTGCTCCCTGTCCTCAGCTGCACACATGACTGTCTCTCACCCAGTCACTGTGAGTCCCCAGTCACTTGGAGCCCTGAAGTGAAGTTGTTTTTCAATTGTTCTGAGTCCCAGGTTTAGATAATCAATGCCTTCCTGAAATGGTGCCTGACAAAGCACTCTCTGGCGATATGGTCAGTGCCTGTGCTTGAATCCTCTCTGGCTGTTCCTCACTGTGTGGAAGGAGTCCACTTGGAGCAAGACCCAGCACTATTTTGCAGTTCACAAAGGCTGGGGGTTCTACTGCTACTTCTCCCTGGATCTCCTGGCCCTGGGTGCTTACCTTGCCTCTGAGGAGCTGGGTTCTCCTCCCCATGAGCCACAAGAGCTGGGGAAAGAGTCTAAGTTGTTTTATTCCTTTCTGTGCATTATGGAACACCTTACCAACTTCTTTGTAGCTTATGATTTTTCCTGTCAGTTCCTTCCTGATTCCTGTTGATCTGCTTCTCTTTTTTCTTCAACAAGTTGTTATTTTCAATTGTCTGGACTCTGGATCTCAGAGAGGCTGAATTTTGCTACCAGTTACTACTCCACCATTTTCTTTCTCCTCAATACCTCTATTCTTCCTAGTACTAGAAGTTCTAGCCAGAGGAATTCAGAAAGAAAGATAAATAGTCATCCAAATTGGAAAGGAAAAAGTAAAATTATCCTGTTTTGTAGTCATGATATGACAAGATCTTGTTGTAGAAAACCCTAACAACTCCCTAAGCTTTGAGAGAGAAACTTTGATGTCTAAAAAAATTATAAGGATTTAGAAACAAATATTGTTTCCCCCCAACTTTCTGTTTTTTGTCTTTATGGCTTGTATGTGTGAAAGCAGAGGCTGCCCTCCCAGGGTGAATGCCTACTTTTAGTGTCCAGGGCACGAACATCAGGCTCTAGGGAGCCTTGAAGTATCTTCTGTTCATAGTCTGCCTAATTTTTAAAACACCTGCCTTCCTACCTAGTTTACATCAAGCAAGAAGCCCAAATTTAATTTCCTTGGATGTTGTATTTATGTTCCTCCTGGGTCACTGTTTTTAGCATGGTAGCTGAGAGACAGGCATTGGAATTCTTTTGAGCCAGTAAGAATCCCAGCTATGTTACTTCCTGGCCATGTGATCCTGGGCAATTTACCTAACCTCTCTGGGTATTGGTTTCTTCATCTGTACATGGACATCATAATGCTTACGAGGATACATGAGAATTAAATAAGATAATGTACATACAGCATATAACACAGTCCCAAGTAGCTTTTTATAATATTGTTGCAATATTTAAAGATAATACTAGAATTTTGACTACTCATCTTCTCTTTTTCATCAACACCCAATGACACAATTATGAACAATGGTATGTATGTTATTTTAGAGTTTTTCTAAAAGATGAAATCATTGTTCTATAATCTGCTTTTTTAACAAAATAATTATGTTGAGTATTTACTTTCACTGATAAATTTATCCACAACATCATTTTAATGACTACCTACCTTAATGTTTTTATTTAATTCTCAATTTTTGGACACTAAGATGTTTCTAGAATTTTAGCCATTATAAATCAGATGGTATTAAACATCTTTAACCATGAGTCTTAGAAACCAATCTTAGAATCACTAGGTCATGGGAAGATTTCACTGGGCTATGGAGTATACTGAATAATCCTTTCCCCCATCTGGGGATGGTGCTGTCCAATAATCAAGCCTGGTCATTTGGAAGGAAAGGCACCATGGCCCAGATCATTGATCAGCATTGACAGTCTTCTTTACCATCCTGTGCCCAGCTCCCATACAGACCTTCCCATCCCATATGCATCGAGTGCCTCCTGAGTGGCAGGAAGCTCCCCGAACCCTCCCTCCTCTTACCTACAGCTCTTAGAGGGGCTTCTTTGGCAGTGCAGAGAGGTCATCTTCTGGACACCCTGGTCCTTTGGGTGTCTTCCTTCTCACCTCTGTCATGGCATGGACCTCTAGCCCCTGGCCAGAAAGGAAAAGATGAGCTATAGCCAAGGAAATTCCTTTAAGTTTAGCTATGCTCTTACCTGGATTGATCAGTTTCATTTTGAAACTAAGGATGCTCTTAAAATCCTGGGATGAAGGGAAGGGCTCTTTGGGAGAAGGACAGAGAAAGAATAGGGCTTGCTTTTCTTCCAGGTTGTGTGTGAGACTCTGTGGGAGTGGAAGAGGTGGAAGTATGAACCCACAGAGAAGAGGAGTTAATTTAGTAGATAGACCTTAGAGAAGATGGCTCTAGAAAGCATAATTTGGCCACCCTAACCCACTCTCATTGTAATGATGCCCCCTAGTAAAGGCAGAGCAATCCTGCTTAAGGATGTTGTTCCTCTGTTTACTCCAGAGCTGGGGGCAGCAGAACTGTGAGCTTGGCTGTCCTGTGTCTTCAAATGCCCCAGAAGGGCCAGAAACCCATGACCTGGTGCAGGACCTACAAACAGTACCCCAGCCTGAGACCCAGTCACCGACTCTTGCTTCCTAAGCTTATCTCCATTTATCCAAGTAGGAATGGGAACACTGGTCATTCTTATAGGCTCATGGGTGAGAGGCTTCCATTCCCTCTTCCAAGTTCCCTCTTCCATCCCCAAAGGCCACGGATGCTTTGGGGGACCAGTGATTCTATAAAAGGGGCCATACTCATCCTACACTTAACTTAAACCTTCTCCTTTTGTGTTCTCTTTTTTCTTTTTTTGTACTCAGGATTGAACTCAGGACCTTGCACCAGCCAGGCAGGCACTGTGCTGCTGAGCTAAATCCCCAGCCCTCTTTTTTCCTTTTGTAGCTCCTTCTGCTCCTGTGATAAACCCACAGGCCCCCAACTCAGCCACAGGTTCCTCTGTCCGGGTGTGCTGGAGCTTATACTCTGATGACACCGTGGAGAGCTATTGGTTGTCCTACCGGCCAGTGCAGGACAGCCCACCTGGGAAGGACCAAGAAGGTGAGGCCCTGCCCAGAAAATGCTCATGCCATGAGAACAGTTCAGGCCCATCAGAGGAGCTGGGAAGGTAGAGAAGAGAGGGGTCTTCCCCAGAGCTCTCATGACCTGGGAACCTCAGAGTGTGAAATGCAGCCAGGCGAGTATGGCAGAAAGGCCTAGAAAGGCAAGTTGGGTCCTGGCTGGGGAAAACCACAAGGCCAACCCAAGGTGTCTGGAGTGTATTCAGAGCCAACAGGTCAGAATTGTCCTTGAATCAGTCTCTGCCTGAGTAGGATGCAGGACAGGCCAGAGATGCCCCTCTTTGGGAGGCCCAGCAGGGCTAGGTTCTAGCACATTCTGACATGTGAGGGTGAGGTAGGCTTTTCTCACAGCAACCCTGTGCTACAGGAGAAACTGTAACAAATACCTGCAGTAAATCAGTTTTTAAAGAGGAAAGGTTTACTTTGGCTCACTGTTTCAGAGGATTCAGTCCTGGGTCACTGGGCCCTATTGACTTTGTACCTATCATGAAACACTACACATGGTGGCAATGTGTGGCAAAGGAAGTTGCTCTCCTCATAGCAGCCAGGGAGCCACGAGAAAGACAGGAAAGGGCTGAGGCCCCAATATGCTCTTCAAGTCCATGCCTTCACTAACTTCCCTTCCTCCCAGTAGGGCCCCCTACCGAAGGTTCTGCCACTTCCCCATGGCCCCATGGGGTTCAACTAAGCCTTGAACTTATAGGATACCTATCAAACCATAGCAAGAAGGGAAGATCAGAATGCAGAACCCTCTCTGATTACCTGAAGGCATCAGGGGATCAAAGCCAGCCTAGGTGCATGAGATCAGAGGGGAGTTCCCAGAACGAGACTTGGAGAGCTCCATTTTATGGATGAGGATGCTGAGACTTGTCTAGAGAAATGACCTGTCTATGGGAATACAGTGAATTATGGCAGAACCAGGCTGAGAATCAGGACCGCAGGCCAGAATGAGAAGGTGGGAAGGTGAGGCCGCTTCCCAGGAGCCAGGAAGGAAAGCAGTTCTAGAGGAAAGAGCTGATTAGCCACAGCCTTCACCAGGAGTCAAGCCCTACTGGCACCCCTTGCAGACATGCAGATGCCACCATGTCAAGCTGTGTCACGGCCATCCACGGAGGTCTCTCAAATGGATGTGTTGTTAGAGCCAATATCAAAGGGTGGCTTAATGAGCTACCACTGCCTTACAAGATTTTAGGAAGGTCAGAGTTGTACCCATTTTTACAGCATATCAGCACTTCCCCAACTTAGTGGCTTATAAAATTATTTATTCTTCCTTATAATGCTTTGGATTGGCTGGGCAATTCTGGTCGGAGCCACGTTGGTTAGGGCCAGGTCTAGTATGGCCTCACTCACTTGTGCCCCAGCTGAAGGCATAGATGAAGGCTGCAATGACTTCAGTGCTGGGGCCTCTCTGTGTGGTTCCATGTCCCCTGGAAGGCTGGCTCTGGCGAGCACCGAACTTCCCAAGCCTCTGTTTGCATCCTGTTTGTCATTGCCCCATTGTCCAAAGCAAGTCACGTAGGTGGGCCTAGCTTCAAGGAATGGCAAGAAAAAAATCTTTTCTGGGAAGGGCTACTGGGGATCGAACCCAGGAATGCTTTATCACTGAGCTCTTTTTATTTTTTTATTTTAAGACAGGATCTCAGCTTCCCAAGCAGCTGGCATTATAGGTGTATGCCACCATACCTGCAAAGTCACACTGCAGAGGGGTGTGCATAGAGGGAGTAATTTGCACCCAGTTCTGCCATCTACTATAGTGAGATTCAGCACAATGGATTTGGAATCACTTGGTCTATTTTATTTTTGCTTAAATTCTTTTATTGGTACATTTTAGGTACACAATACATTTACATTTATCATTGGGTGCTTGTACCTGTACATGATGTATCTTGGTTCTTATTTTTTCCCCATTACCTGTGCTCCCTTCACCCGTCCACCCTTCCCTATTTACATAGACTTCATTTCCTTTTTTTTTTTTTCTACTTGGCCTATTTTAAAGGTTGAATTCTTACCTTTTTTTCCTCCTAGAGTTTACAGTGACCGTCAAAGAAACATACTGCTCAGTGACAAACCTTGAACCAAATACCCAGTATGAATTCTGGGTCATAGCCAAGAACAGGGCTGGCCCCAGTCCCTCCAGTGAGCATGCAGTATACATGACAGGTAATGGGACCACTGTTTCCTGTCACAGGGCTTTCATTCAAGAGGACATCAGAGTTACAAGTTCTAGACATGGTAGGGCCTTTGATTTCATTTGCAAGGACAGGAAGAACTATGTGACCTTTTTCGTTCAGTTGATACACTAAATCTACACACTTAGTATGGCAGGGACATTTTCTCATGGTTGGTGCCAAAATATAAAAGTGCTACACTTGGTCACACTGACACTGGAATCTTGTTAGCCATCCTTTGCTCCAGGACATTTGGAAAATCCCCTGGTGTTCTTCATGGCACTGAATCTTTCACATGGGTGGACAGGGTGCTTGTGGTGTTTGTCTGTGACTGTGAACACAATGGCCAGAAAGGAACAGGACAGTTGTTCACCTCTCCTTTCCCCTGTGTTTAGCCCCTTCTCCCCCTGTTATAAAAACTGAGGCGATAAGGAGCTGTGAAGAGGCTGTGCTCATCTGCTGGGAGTCTGGGAACCTGAATCCTGTGGACTCCTATACCGTGGAGCTGACCCAGGTGGAAATGCCAGCAACCTCAGGGGTAACTGAGTGAGTCACAAAGGCATGTGCTGAGCATTTGGAAAGGTGATCTGGAGAGGTCAGAATTTGTGACACATGGGAAATCATAGTTATAGGTTAGTTTTCACATGAAGCAGCTGCAATGCCATTATCAAAGGTGAAGAATGACCAAGAGTATAAGGGGTTAACCTCATATTTACTTTTTTTTTTTTTTTTTTGGTACCAGGGATCGAACTCGGGTCCTTGCACTTGCTCATGTTTACTTTTTATAAAGCCAAATTAAGGTTTCCCATTCAAGTATTGACAGATAGTCAGTGATGACAGACTAGTCAGTATTGACAGACGAGTATAGTTTGCTATGGCATGCATGCCATAGATGGTGCCAAGTTAGGGTGGCGTAGATTGATGCATCTCTTGCCCTAATGGAGATGACAGCTAGATGGGGAAACAGCCAAAATAAAAAATAAAAGCCAAAAAAATAGCAATGTTTGAAACACTGTGCTCTGGGGCACTGAAGTGCTAGGAAGGAAAAAGAAATGTAATAAACTAGAGTATGGGGTGGAGACAGGGACCCCTTTGGGTGGAACAGACACTAAAACTGTGTCCTGCAGATGGGAGCCAGTGAGCCTGAGAACAGCAGATGTGGGAGCCACCCAGGAGAGAGGGCTGCAGGGACATGGGCTGGGACAGGAGTGAGCTGGCTGCGCTGGAGGAACCAAGGGGCCAACCTGGCTGGCATTCAGGGAAGAGAGGGAAAAGAAAAGACAAGAGAGACTGCAGTTCAGCACACAAACAGTACTGTCTGCTGCCAAAGGCCATCTGTGGGCTCACGTTCACCTGGAGGTGAGAGAGTGAGCAGTGTTCACAGGTGGATGAGGGCTAGGCCTGGGCCACCAGGGTTTCCATCTTTGACAGCTGGCAGCTTTGGGCAGTGGAGGACACAGAACCTGCTTACAGCAGGCTGTGCAGAAGTTTGTGGAGGGTTAACAACCCTGGGCTGGGCCCCTGCAGCTCTGGTCAGTCACCTGGTCACAGACATGTACTGAGACTTCCACACATGCTGTGGTCAGTGGTCCACAGGTTCTGCCCTCGGACAGGTTATGACCCGCACAGCCAGATGCAGACACTACATTAGACATCTGCCAAGCACAGTGCCAGGTACCTGAGAATCCAGGGGGAGCTCAGGAGGGAGACAGCCACACATCTGGAGTAGCACCCCAGAGAAAGGTGAGCAGGAGGCTGTGGGCTCCTCAGGGACCAGCTGATATGCCTGGCTGTGCTGCTGTGGGCCAGAGGACAATGACTATGACTATGATTTTCACAATGCCAGCTTTGGAAGGTACAGCCAGGCTTGGGTCTGGGTCCCCTGGCCCCACGCTGACCACAGCTCCACTTCCCTCCCCAGGTCCGTGGTTGGCATCCCTACCTGTGAGTCGCTGATACAGCTGCAGCCTGGGCAGAGCTACACGATCTGTGTGCGAGCCCTCAATGTGGGGGGCCCCAGTGCCAGGAGCGAGCCCGCTACAGTCTGTACCACAGGTCTGTGCCCTGGACTGTGGGGTGGTACCTCTGGGTCCCAGGTGGCCACTTGGTGGCAGACCCCATGTTGCTGTGATGTCACCAGAAAACAGATGAGTGTGCATAGGACACAGGGCAGGCCTGGAAAGGGTTCTGGGGGACTGAAGCCCTGTGGTCTGGTTTTACAGATGAATGAAGACCCAAGTCACTACAATTTGGTAGCTGAGTAGTTTTTCTCTAGGCCCCTCAGGTGGGCCAGAGGCTCAGCCATGGATCTGGGCGGCCCAGCACCTCAAATCTTACCCAGGCTGAGTTCCTCCCTTGTGACAGGGTCCTGATGAAATTCCCAGAAGAGCCCCTGGCCTTGACCCACCTCCCACCCAGCCCCTGGCCCCATCTCTTGTGTGCCATCCCTGTCAGAAAACAGCTTCCTCTCGCTTCCAAGTCTTGAGTCAGCAGACTCACTAGCAACATCCTCCCATTGCCTGTCACCCTGACCCTCCTTGCTGAGCTGTGCCAAGGTGTGCAGCAGCCAGGTGGCTTTTCCACACCTCTCGGCGCACACCCGGCTGGACCTGCTGTGTGGGTGACAGGAGCCACAGACTGGCCCAGCACTCCGAACAACATGCTCTTGATGGGGATCTTTCACTGAGACACTGGGCCATTGTGTACTCCTTTCTAAGGCTGGGAGAGGGCCAAGACCAGCCTCCATTTATATTCCTTCCATGTGGATGGGCAAGAAGTTCAGCAGCCACCCACAGCCACAGAGCTGGAAAGGGTGAGTGCCAGAAGCAGGACTCGGGGTTTTTTTGTCTTGTGCTGGGGCCTTCTTTTGGTTATTTGCAGTTCTAATTTTTTGTGCTGGCTTGTTTTGAAATATCAAATCCTGGCTATTTCAGTAAAAGAAAATAGGGAGGAAAAGGTACAGCTAGCTCTTGATTATTCAGTCGTCTCTGAATCCATTTGTTCAAAGAATTTTTATGTGCATGTATAGCCCTGGGAATTAAACCCAGGGCCTCTGCATTGAGCTACATCCCCAGCTCTCTTACTTTATTTTTTATTTTGAGACAGTCTCCCTAAGTTGTCCAGGCTGGACTTGAACTTGCAATCCTCCTGCTTCAGTATCCCCCAGAGCAAAAATTTTTTTTTTTTGGTACTGAGGATAGAACTTGGGACCTTGTGCTTGCACCGCAGGCGCCGGAACCACTGAGCTAAATCCCCAGCCCTGCACATAAGGTTTTTAAGAGTGTACAATACTTATAGAAAACTTTCATGAACATTAATCAACAAAAAATATATATTCAAAAATGATCTTTGCCTGAGAACAGAAAGGGCAGTAGAAGCCACTGACTGTTAGTTGTTAGGTGGGAATGTGTCTCCCTTTCCAGAGTCAGCAAATAAAGTTCCTAGTGGCAAGAGCTGTAAAAGTAATTGTGAACAGTTTGGTGGTGATGCTTGAACCAAAGTTTGAGACAATGAAAAGTGACAGAATGGGAAAGAAAGAAGTGGTCTCAGAGACAGTAATGGAGGAGGAGGTACTATGTTCCTAAATAATCTTTTTTATTCATAACTTTTATTAGATCTGTACAACTTCTTGATGAGCTTTGTTTTAGTCATGATTTGAGGGTGACTCATCTCTTTCCTTCTCCCCCATTATCCTAACTGCAAGGCAGATGTTGAATTTTGCTAACGTTTATCAAATGATCATTAAGAATTCCCTTGACTTGTTTCCCTTGGCAGGCAAGTTAGAAATTCTTGTCTGGGCACAGGCATTTGCAGCCCAGACACAAGGGCACAGCCACGGGAATCACAGTGGGGTTCAAATTTGAGTCTTATCATTTGCCAGCCAATTTCTTACCCACTTGCGCCTCAGCTTCCTGACCTACTAAACAGACAGTAACACCTGTTTCTGTGGGTGGTCGTGGGGACCGATGGATAAGATGTGTGAACAGCTTCGCTCCATGCCAGGCCCAAGTGCTGTCCCTTCCAGCATAGCTGCCACTTGTCCACAGGAGGCTGTGACTCTGAGGGGTGCTGGGGACACTGTACCCACATGTGGGATTCCTGTGCAGACTGCTGCACTGTGACTGTCCGGGCATCTTCTGTGTTCCCTGTCCTGCAGGAAGCTACTTTCCCCTGAATAAGGCCACCTGCCACCCCTGGTTGAACATTTCAGAAGATGGGTTTATGGTGATCCGAAGTGAAAGGAAAAGTCTCACTCGGGAGCCACTGCCCAGCCAGACCCAGTTCACCAGGTACTACACACACACACACACACACGCACACTCCCCAGCCAGACCTAGTTCAACAGGTACTACACACACACACCTGCTCAACAGGATGCTCTCAGAACTGCTCTGGTAACACCGCTGGGCCAGGGAGTGGGGTTATGATAAACAGACAACGCCTCACAGGGGGAAAGGGAATCCCAAAAATGAGAGGGAAGGCCTGGCAGGGGAGGGCACTCCTGTGAGGCCATGGTGGCCCCCAAGGACTTCGTGGGGGTATGGGTCATGGGTCAGAGTGGAAGGACAGAAACAGGACTCAGTCTCCTGCTGCTGAGCCCAGGGCTCTTCCTCCCACCCTGAGACACCTTGCATAAAATCCCTGGGCAGGCGTACAGAGCAAGCCTGTCCTATAGGGGCCCAGCCTGAGAGAGGAGTCATCCCACCTGCCACCATCTCTACCTGCTGTCCAGAGCTCAGCACTCCATGTTGAGGTAATTTACTGGTGCTGTCATTCTTTCTCCAAAGATGTACAAAAGACTTAAAAGGCAAATATACTGAGAAAAAAAGTCAAAGCAATAAAAGAAGAGCGGTAGGGCTGAGTTTCCAGGATTAAACAGTAACATGCTGGGAGCCAGGGAAGAAGGTGTCCTTGGCAGGTAGATTTTGGAGAATGGAGGATCTTTCAAGGAAGAAAAGCAGCTTTCATCTGAGGGCTGGAAGAGCCCCTGATGGAAGCTGAGCCTGGCCTCCCTGTGTGGGTCTTAAAGCACCCCTCAGCTGGCTCTTCCTCACCAATGGCTCCTAGCTGTCTTTCTACTGCCCATGAAGTAAGCACTCACTGCGTGTTTTCCTGTGAAACAGCAGAACTGCAGAGTATAGACGAAAACAGTTTTATCCCTTCCCTCCACCACCCATTCACCCATTCAACCTGAGAGAGAGGAGTAAGAAGCATCCAGGTCCTGCCTGACAGGCAGCGACACACTTAGCACTGACTCTCATGGACGTTGTTGTGGCCCCTCTGACTGCAGCTGTTAACACAGGAGCCCCAGCCGCTGGTGGCCCCTCACAAGCCGACGCACCCAACACTATGACTCTAGACTCTTTCT